CCATTACGCGAGGCTCAAGGGCTTTCACTTGGGACTTCATGTAGAAGCCTTAAAACATGAACCGAGCTTCTTCGGGACCATGAGTGTGGATTCGAGGGTCAGCATCGATCTGCGACTTCAGTGGTTTAAGTTTCAGGGTTTACCTAGCGCGATAGGCCTCCGATAGGCCTGGAAGGAATCGGGACACAGTGCACCTGTTGTGAAAGGTCACTGCGCCGCTGCTGACACCAGAGGCAGGGTGCGCACGCTTGAAATCTAAACCCCCAAGCCTGAAGCCCATGTTCTGACAGACGAAGAAAGCAAGCACGGATGGAACATTGTGTGACAGTGTGTGGCCACTGACGGTTAGTCGAAGCATTGCGGCCAGTGCTTCAGTATAGTTTCTTTTTCTCTGTGCTGCTACTGCTGATACTGACGCAAGGTGCAGAACTTGTACTACTTGTACTGCTTGTACTAGCACTGCTACTACTACTACTACTACTACTACTACTACTACTACTACTACTACTACTACTACTACTACTACTACTACTACTAGTACTACTACTAGTACGACGACTACTACTACTACTACTACTACTGCTACTACTGCTATTACTACTACTACTACTCCTACTACTACTACTACTACTACTACTACTACTACTACTACTACTACTACTACTACTACTACTATCACTACTACTACTACTACTACTACTACTACTACTACTACTACTACTACTACTACTACTACTACTACTACTACTGCCCCAACTACTTCCACATATATTTGATACCACTACTCTTACCAGTACCACTATCATTAGGACGCCGCGACGTTTACTAACACGACCGCGGCTGCATACTCTTGCTGATGTTGCTGTTACCACTACCACGGCTTGCTAGCAATGCACGGGTGGGATGCACTTTTATCTTGTGTGTTTGTGGCTTTCTTGAGCTCTCGGCTTTAGGATTGAGTTCGCGTGGCCGGCGTGGGACGACAACTATATTTGGGTGGTTGTCAAAATTATGGTCCCTTCTTGGGTCCCTATTATAACTTGGTGGCCGTTTCGGGGATTTTTAATTTTTTGGTGTTTTGTGGGGTTCATTGCATACAACCAACTGCAGCCTTCAGGCTCGAGGGGTCAGACCAGGCATCAATCCAACCAGGTGTTTCCAGTGGAAACACCTGGTTGGAGTTGATGCCTGTCGGGGGATGCACGGACATCCCTCACCCCTGCAAGATGTCTGTGGTCCCACCACCGACATCTTGCAGGGGTGAAGGATGTGCGTGCATGAACCCCGACCGAGGCCCCAGCGTGCATGGATAGAGACATCCATCACCCCCGCAAGATGTCTGTGGTCCCACCACTGACATCTTGCGGGGGTGAGGGATGCCCGTGCATCCCCGACCGAGGCCCCAGCGTGCATGCACAGACCCAGAACAATGCACCAGGCTCGGTCAGACCCCAGCATGCATGCACAGACCAATGCACGAGGCTCGGTCAGACCCAGAACAATGCACCAGGCTGGGTCAGACCCCAGCATGCATGCACAGACCCAGAACAATGCACCAGGCTCGGTCAGACCCCAGCATGCATGCACAGACCAATGCACGAGGCTCGGTCAGACCCAGAACAATGCACCAGGCTGGGTCAGACCCCAGCATGCATGCACAGACCCAGAACAATGCACCAGGCTCGGTCAGACCCCAGCATGCAGGTCCAGGCTCAGTCAGTCAGACTACAGTAGGTGGTGGCTCCAAGGCTCCCAGGCTGCCAGGCTCAAGGCCCACCCCTAACCCGTGCCGCCATGTCTTCATGGACTTCGTCGTGATCACTCTTCGGCTGTGGCCGCAGCCGCAGCCGCAGCCTCAGGGGGGGGGGGGGGGGGGCAGGACGAGAGCAAAAATCATATTATAGCATGACATGCAATGACAGTCAGCTGCTTTGACTTGCGATTCCTGTCACGGCGGCTCCCAGGCACTTTAGGCTCCCAGGCACTTTAGGCTCCCAGGTTTCAGTCAGTTCCACTGAGGTTTCCTGCCGACGGCCGCCGCGGCTCTTCGAAGACAAGCCGCCAGTTTTGCATTTACCCGTGGAGTGTTGCATGCATGCCTAGAGTGTTTGCCGTGCACCACATGCAATCAGAGTCAGCTGCTTTGACTTGCGAGTGTTGCCACTGGAGTGTTTGCCGAGCACCACATGCAATGACAGTCAGCTGCTTTCACTTTAGGCTCCCAGGCACTTTAGGCTCCCAGGTTTCAGTCAGTTCCACTGAGGTTTGAACACCTGCCGACGGCCGCCGCGGCTCTTCGAAGACAAGCCGCTAGTTTTGCATTTACCCGTGGAGTGTTGCATGCATGCCTAGAGTGTTTGCCGTGCACCACATGCAATCACAGTCAGCTGCTTTGACTTGCGAGTGTTGCCACTGGAGTGTTTGCCGAGCACCACATGCAATGACAGTCAGCTGCTTTCACTTTAGGCTCCCAGGCACTTTAGGCTCCCAGGCTTTCAGTCAGTTCCACTGAGGTTTTGAACACCTGCCGACGGCCGCCGCGGCTCTTCGAAGTTTGAAGACGAGCCGCCAGTTTTGCATGCACCCGTGGAGTGTTGCATGCATGCCTAGAGTGTTTGCCGTGCACCACATGCAATCACAGTCAGCTGCTTTGACTTGCGAGTGTTGCCACTGGAGTGTTTGCCGAGCACCACATGCAATGACAGTCAGCTGCTTTCACTTTAGGCTCCCAGGCACTTTAGGCTCCCAGGTTTCACTCAGTTCCACCGAGGTTTCCTGCCGAAGGCCGCCGCGGCTCTTCGAAGACAAGCCGCCAGTTTTGCATTTACCCGTGGAGTGTTGCATGCATGCCTAGAGTGTTTGCCGTGCACCACATGCAATCACAGTCAGCTGCTTTGACTTGCGAGTGTTGCCACTGGAGTGTTTGCCGAGCACCACATGCAATGACAGTCAGCTGCTTTCACTTTAGGCTCCCAGGCACTTTAGGCTCCCAGGTTTCAGTCAGTTCCACTGAGGTTTGAACACCTGCCGACGGCCGCCGCGGCTCTTCGAAGACAAGCCGCTAGTTTTGCATTTACCCGTGGAGTGTTGCATGCATGCCTAGAGTGTTTGCCGTGCACCACATGCAATCACAGTCAGCTGCTTTGACTTGCGAGTGTTGCCACTGGAGTGTTTGTCGAGCACCACATGCAATGACAGTCAGCTGCTTTCACTTTAGGCTCCCAGGCACTTTAGGCTCCCAGGTTTCAGTCAGCCCCACTGAGGTTTTGAACACCTTCCGACGGCCGCCGCGGCTCTTCGAAGTTTGAAGACAAGCCGCCAGTTTTGCATGCACCCGTGGAGTGTTGCATGCATGCCTAGAGTGTTTGCCGTGCACCACATGCAATCACAGTCAGCTGCTTTGACTTGCGAGTGTTGCCACTGGAGCGTTTGTCGAGCACCACATGCAATGACAGTCAGCAGCTTTCACTTTAGGCTCCCAGGCACTTTAGGCTCCCAGGTTTCACTCAGTTCCACTGAGGTTTCCTCCGACGGCCGCCGCGGCTCTTCGAAGACAAGCCGCCAGTTTTGCATTTACCCGTGGAGTGTTGCATGCATGCCTAGAGTGTTTGCCGTGCACCACATGCAATCACAGTCAGCTGCTTTGACTTGCGAGTGTTGCCACTGGAGTGTTTGCCGAGCACCACATGCAATGACAGTCAGCTGCTTTCACTTTAGGCTCCCAGGCACTTTAGGCTCTCCCAGGTTTCAGTCAGTTCCACTGAGGTTTTGAACACCTGCCGACGGCCGCCGCGGCTCTTCGAAGACAAGCCACCAGTTTTGCATGCACCCGTGGAGTGTTGCCCCTGGAGTGTTTGCCCAGCACCACATGCAATGACAGTCAGCTGCTTTGACTTGCGAGTGTTGCCGCTGGAGTGTTTGCCGAGCACCACATGCAATGACAGTCAGCTGCTTTGACTTGCGATTCCTGTCACGGTGACTCCCAGGCACTTTAGGCTCCCAGGCACTTTAGGCTCCCAGGTTTCAGTCAGTTCCACTGAGGTTTTGAACGCCTGCCGACGGCCGCCGCGGCTCTGCGAAGACAAGCCGCCAGTTTTGCATTTACCCATGGAGTGTTGCATGCATGCCCAGAGTGTTTGCCGTGCACCACATGCAATCACAGTCAGCTGCTTTGACTTGCGAGTGTTGCCGCTGGAGTGTTTGCCGAGCACCACATGCAATGACAGTCAGCAGCTTTCACTTTAAAGGCTCCCAGGCACTTTAGGCTCCCAGGGACTTTAGGCTCCAAGGTTTCAGTCAGTTCCACTGAGGTTTTGAACACCTGCCGACGGCCGCCGCGGCTCTTCGAAGACAAGCCGCTAGTTTTGCATTTACCCGTGGAGTGTTGCATGCATGCCTAGAGTGTTTGCCGCGCACCACATGCAATCACAGTCAGCTGCTTTGACTTGCGAGTGTTGCCGCTGGAGTGTTTTCCGAGCACCACATGCAATGACAGTCAGCAGCTTTCACTTTAAAGGCTCCCAGGCACTTTAGGCTCCCAGGGACTTTAGGCAGGTTTCAGTCAGTTCCACTGAGGTTTTGAACACCTGCCGACGGCCGCCGCGGCTCTGCAAAGGCAATCCGCGAGTTTTGCACGCACCCGTGGAGTGTTGCCAATGGAGTGTTTGCCGAGCACCACATGCAATCACAGTCAGTTGCTTTGACTTGCGAGTGTTGCCGCTGGAGTGTTTGCCGAGCACCACATGCAATGACAGTCAGCTGCTTTGACTTGAAATTCCTGTCACGGTGGCTCCCAGGCACTTTAGGCTCCCAGGCACTTTAGGCTCCCAGATTTCAGTCAGTTCCACTGAGGTTTTGAACACCTGCCGACGGCCGCCGCGGCTCTTCGTGAAGGCAAGCCGCCAGTTTTGCATGCACCTGCGGAGTGTTGCATGCATGCCTGGAGTGTTTGCCGTGCACCACATGCAATCACAGTCAGCTGCTTTCACTTGCGTTTCCTGTCACGGTGGCTCCCAGGCTCTTTCAGGCTCCCAGGTTTCAGGCTCCTGAATCAGGAGCCAGACCACTGGGTTAGCATTTATGTCAAGCAGCTCGGACATGGGTTCGTTGAAGCTCCGAGCGAAGGCGGCCGCGTCCACGGACACCGCCGCAGCTGCGGCTGCAAAGCCGTCCGAGTCCGAGACGGCGGAGTCGGAGGGCTTCACAATGGTCTCAGAGCCGGAGGAGCAGCAGCAGCAGCCTGGCTCGGGATCGACTTCGTTGGCAAGGGCCAGTGACGATGCCACTTCGTCGGATGTCGGCGAGAACATCCCACAAGTCCTTCAGTCCATGATCAAACCGGCGATGCTGCGCTACAAGGCTACGGATCTCCAGTCCCACTATATGCACATTGGCTTAAACGACTGGGAGTTCAAGTTAGATGTTACATTAATTATTTGGTTTATTGCTTTGAAATTATAATTAATCAGTTTTTTTATTATAATAATTATTATTATAGATCCTCCAGGCACCTGAAGCAAGCGCCGGACCTGCTGAGAGACCGTTACGACACGAGTGAGCAGTTCACGTGGGCACTGGCAGGGTTCAATGCGTATCGCAGCTCATTCTACCCAGACGGCAGTTTTTCCGACAATTGTGGCATCATAGCATGTACCTCGGCAGAATAACATTAAAATTTAATTTAATAATATAATAATTAAATAATTAATTTAGTAATCATAATAATTAATCATATTAATATAGTAGGTTGTAGTTTAGTTTTTCATTTGAATTGTTCTGAAGATCGTGTCAACTCAGATTTCCCGTGGGAAGACATGGAGGTTATGCCCAAGTTGCAGAGCATCGCGACGTCCATGCCGCCGCAGAATGCAACGCCGCAGGTGTACTCTGTTGTACCTGAGCCTGATGAAGTTATTAATTAACTTAAATCTGTGAATGAATGTAATTATTATTAATTGCACTGAGGTGGCGTGCTGCATCCGGGAGCTTCTGGATCAGTTTCTCTATGCGCCTGACGAAAAGGTGGTCCGCATCCTCTTGTTCCCATACATAGCAAACGGGGCTGCGCGAGGATGTATGTTGAATCGCTTCGAACCCTGGCTAGGCTAGATCGAAGTTGGAGTAACAGATTGTTTGCATCGTTTGACTTATTATATATGACTCATTCGACTGAGTCCAGACTTAACCAAGGACCAGGATCCCCAGTGGGCAGGATGGTCACTGCCGATCATGACGGATGGCTTGCTCTTGTCGGTGTCATCGTACGCCCAGGATGTCTTGGCCTTTGCCTCCATGTTCTTGAACAAATGCGGGTTCCTGTCAGCGGTACCAAGATCTGCTCCGATAGGCATTGCTGCGCAGACCTTCGCATCCGTGGAGGAGAGGAACGAGATGATGCTCCAAAACAGTTTCCTCCGCGAGCGCTTCACCGAGGAGTATGAAAACAAGCTGTACAAGTGCGGCGTGCGGCTTGCTGTCTTCAACCAAGCCCTGCGGCAACTTGGCTCAGTATTTTGTGCCGTTCCGTTATGATTAAATTATTTATTAATTAGATAAAAATCCAAGGCGGTCGGAGGTGATGACCAACACTGCCCGGATGGATGCCGGGTTTGGGCACTTCATTACGCCACTCCCTGCCGACGGCCTTGAGATGGCGGCGCTGTACGGATCCAAGTCTTTGTGGGCGACCGATCAAGGCTATTTCTACTCCATCGGCCTGATCCCAGCGACGGTTTGCGCTTCGAAGAAGTTCGTCACTGAGACGAAGATGCCGTTCTGTGAGGTGATCAAGGGCGATCTGGACGAGACCATGGAGGACTTCCGCTTCTCGAAGAAGAGGGAGGTGACCTTCGCCTACCTGGGCGATGGGGACGACTTCGGGCTCTTCTTGGATGGCTACACTCTGGCGCCTGGGCGATTTTAAATAAAATAGTTTAGTATTAACTTGACTGATAACCTTCCATCCCAGGAACGCGTGATCCTGTGGAAGCGGGTGCCCTTGGTGATGAAGTTTCAGCGGCACCTGGATGCCATTGGCAGGCCGTACACGGTCACCCTCTGCCGGTGCGGTAAATGGGGGCGACAGGTCGACTTGGCCATGAAATACTCAGGCACCAGGAACCCTGATCAGTGAAGCCTGCTGACTGTTTCATTGCTGGCTGGCTTTGTTTTGCACAGGCGATCCCCAGGCCCCTAGGCTCCTAGGTTCTAAGGCTGGGATGTCTTGAGGAGCCATGATTTATATTAATGACAATAATACAAAAGTGATATGATTCATGTGTAAATGTATTATAGCTTTGTTTCACTCAAGTTCAAGGTTCCAAGGCTCCCAGGCTCCCAAGGCTCCTAGGCTTAGGATCTTGGCCGAACGCACAGGGGGACAAGCAGCTTGTGCCAATTCAAAGATTTCAAGCCAGCCAGCCACGACGGAATCCTGGCATTGTCCAGCTGGCCAGAATCCTGGCATGTGCAGAGCAACGTCAAGTCTAGTCGATGTTGCCTGCACCCTCCAGCCGTGCGGCCGACAGCGAGCGCACATGCAAAAACAATGCTTTCTTCAATCAGCTTGTCAAGTAAAACCCCCCAGCCCGATAAACCGCAGAACCCCCCCCCCCGCGGCAGGCGATCTTCATCCCGGCCCGGCTTGCCTGCTCAGGCCAGCGGGAATTCAGGCTTTTTTGAAGGGTATCCATAAATCCTAAACCCTAAACCCGTGGAGCCTTGCCTGCCTGTGCGAGTGTGAGCGTCGAAAACCCTAAACCCTAAACCCTAAACCTTACTCGCCGAGGCTCGGCAGCGGAATCCGCGCTGGAGCCGGAGGCGGGTTCGGGTTTGTAAGGACTTAGGCTTAGGGTTTAGGGTTTGTAAGGATTTAGTTAGGGTTTGTAAGGACTTAGGGTTTAGGGTTTAAGTAAGGATTTAGGGTTCAGGGTTTGCAAGGAGTTAGGGTGAAGGGTTTGTAAGGACTTAGGCTTAGGGTTTAGGGCTTGTAAGGAATTTAGGGTTTAGGGACTCGCGGAAGGTTCCATTAAGTTAATTCCAAAACCCTTAAAGCCCAAACCCTAGACCCTAAGTCCTTACAAACCCTAAACCCTAAGGCCTTACAAACCCTAAACCCTAAGCCTAAGTCCTTACAAACCCTTAACCCTAAGTCCTTGCAAACCCTGAACCCTAAATCCTTAAACCCTAAACCCTAAGTCCTTACAAACCCTTAACCCTAAGTCCTTGCAAGCCCTGAACCCTAAATCCTTACTTAAACCCTAAACCCTAAGTCCTTACAAACCCTAAACCCTAATTCCTTACAAACCCTAAACCCTAAGCCTACGTCCTTACAAACCCTTAACCCTAAGTCCTTGCAAACCCTGAACCCTAAATCCTTACTTAAACCCGTAACCCTAAGTCCTTACAAACCCTAAACCCTAAATCCTTACAAACCCTAAACCCTAAACCCTAAGTCCTTACAAACCCTAAACCCTAAATCCGATAAACCCTAAACCCTAAGTCCTTACAAACCCTAAACCCTAAATCCTTGCAAACCCTGAACCCTAAATCCTTACAAACCCTAAACCCTTACAAACCCTAAACCCTAAATCCTTACAAACCCTTAACCCTGTTGCTTCGGAGTTACCCTGCAATGCGGGCTTCGTCCTTGCTAGGTAGCCTTAAACCCTTAGCCCCGAAACCCTAAACCCCAATCCCCTAAACCCTAAACCCCTCTGCCATCGCATCAAAAAAACCCTAAACCCCTGTAAACCCTAAACCCTAAACCCCTAAACCCCTAAACCCTAAACCCCTAAACCCCTAAAACCCTACCCTAGACCCCTAGACCCCTAAACCCCTAAACCCCTACCCTAAAACCCTAAACCCCTAAATCCCTAAACCCTTAAATCCCTAAATCCTAAACCGGAGTTCACACAAAGGCATGTCCCGTATCGGGCATCGCCGCGGGGCTCAGCCCTATGAACACGCTGCTCGAATCAGGACGAGCTAAGCGTGGTATGGCAACAACTCCACGGGGCAATGCACAGCGTCTGCGTTCCCAATCCTGGAGGCCATACGACGAGTACAATTGCCGGTCGCGGCAAACTGGGGCTGCACATGGCAGCACGGCAACGCCACAGCCATGCGGTACTGGAAGTTTCAGACCACAAACGCATGGAGACTGCGCAGCGGCTGTGAGCCGGCGCACCGGTCCACGGACCCTCAGAGAAGCGCGTACATGCGCGTATAGCGTGACAGAAACACATTGTCACGCACGCGTCACGCGTCCGCGAGGGCCCCTAGGCTCCAAGGCTCCAAGGCTCCGAAGGATTTTGTTTGGCAAACCCCTCACAAAAATGATTAAAGAGGTAGTGGCGGGGTTTAGCAACGTTTTTGTTGAAAGTAGGCCATAAATCGTCTAAACCCTAAACCCTGGACCCTATTAAATTCCAGACCCTAAACCCTTAAGATTATCACCATCTTACGGTACTCGGCTGCAGTCGATTCATTAAAATCCCTTTGAACGCCTATGACCCCGCCGTAAGCCTAACACCCTGCCCATAGCCCGCTCCCTAAAGCCTGGTACCCCTAAAATGCCCACTCCAGTAAAGGCTTCAACCCCTAACAGCCCCCATGAGGGTTTAGGGTTTAGGGTTAAAGTTTAATTTCAAAATTATTATTTTAAATTAAGTAACATTTAATTAAATAATAAGTTAAAAAATGAAAGTAAACCCTAAACCCCGTTCTTGATCGTCGATAATTGCTGAAACCCAGGTTACACTCGAAACCCTGGACACCAAACTACCTAAATCCTAAAGCCCCCTGTACCCCCTGTATTCCTTAAGCAAAGCACACACCAAAACTTGACAGGACCCTTCAATGCACCCGGATGACCCTTGGATGCAACGATCAGGCCAGGCACTGCATCTAAGGGTGTTTTGTGTGCATCCAAGGGTCATTGAGGGGTACTGGTCTGGTGGGATCATCGCCTTTGCTTCTGTCCCAGTGCCAGTCACTCGTCGCGAAGTTTGAAGTTGTCAGCAAGTGCTTCAACTTAAACGTTGCATTCAAGGCTCCAGGCACCAAGGCACCCAGGCTCTCAGGCTCCAAGGCCTAGTAGAGTGTGCATTTTGACCCTACCCACACAGTGTACGCTGCCGTTACGTCACTGTGGGCACCGTTGGCCGGGTGTCGGGCCGCAGGAACTCAGCCTTGAGGCCAACCTGCCAAGGCAGTGGCAGATGACAGCTGGGCCAATGGGCTAATGCGCCAGCTGGGGCAAAATCTGGGCCAGGGATCCTGTTGTCCCGCCAGATTGTTCCTGCAATGA